GGGTTAGATTTTTTAACGATTGCTTCAAAATTTTTAAGCAACATAGCTATAGATACATGTTTTAATTTTCATTTTAATTTATTTTTAATTTAATTGCATTGTGGTCAAAGCACACAGTTTCTATGATGTTGATTATTTGACATTTTTTAAGTCTTGCTATATGGCCTAGTGTGCAGTCAGTTACACAAATATTCTGTGTGTTCTTGAGTAAAAGTATATTTATTAAATGTTTGGCATTGAGTTCACCATATATTTATTAAATCAAGCTTTCTAATTGCATTGCTCAAATATTACAGTTTTTATGATATTTTATAATTTGATTTGTCAGTGACTGAGACAGGTAAGTTTAAATCTTATTGTATGGGTGATAAATTTATCGTTTCTCTTCAGAGTTGTTTTCTCTATTTTTTGTTTTATATATTTTGATGCTATACTCTTATGTACATACAAGTTTAGAATATCTTCCTAGTGTTTTCAATCTTTTATTATTACATAAAGACCCTTTTAATCTCCAAAAGTGTTTTTTGTTTTGTTTTGTTTTATTTGCCTTGGTCTATTGTCTCTGATATTAATACAGCTGCAACAGATTGTTTTTTAATAGTATTTACCTGGTGTGTTTTTCCATCCATTAACTCTCAAACTTTTTATGTTCTTTACTTTAAACTGTGTCTCCTATAAGACGTAATTTTTATTTTTTCCCATTCAATTTCTGAAAAACTTATGTCTTTATATAGATATTGTGATTATAATTTGTTTGGGGTTATTTCTATCATACTATTTAGAGTTTGCTCTCTCTTGATTTTCTATTTTTTCTTTTCCTTTTTTAAGATTGATTGAATTCAAATTTATTTTTACATTCTATTGGTTTGAGAGTTATGTGCTCGGTTTTATTTTCTTATTGGTTTCCCTTAAAAGTTGTACATGTTTGTAAGATTATATAGTAAGAGTGTGCTAACCTCTGAAAAAAAATGAAAAAGGTGAGAAAACAGGAAGAATGGATAAAAAGTTCTTAGTAAAAATTTGGAGAGAGTAATTTTTCCAACCAATGAAAAGATGTTATCATTCTAAAGGTCTGAGGGGTGAGAGTGGTGCAATAATTTTTTTTTCACTTCCCTGGACACCATTTCCAAGGTAGTTTTTGTCCCATTCAATAATAAAATAGCAGAATGTTGAGTGGGCCTTTTTTCTGAATCCAGCAATTGGATGACAAAGAGACTCAAGTAGCTCACATTCTAAACGAAACTTCCAACAGAGGCTGGGATCAAGCATCATGACCAAGGTTTCCTAAGCAATGGTAAGCAATGGGGGTCAGCCCCATCTCTACCACTAGCCACCAAACCACCACACCCCCAAGCTGTGCGAACCAAGGTAGGGAAACACAGAAGAGGAGGGAGTTGTGGGGACTGCCAACTTTGTTTGGGATGAGACATCTCCCCTCTCTGGAAGCCAGATGTGGGGGTGCTCTAAGAGAATCACTGCTAGAGCCTGAGTGGTCCTCCCTGGCCAACTGGATGTAGCCAAACTGTGGCACCTTTAGGCTCTCCTGGTCATGCTATTGGAGGGCAGTGAAGCACAGTGAGGTGGGCAGAACTCTGAGGTGGTCCCCAAGATTCCAGAGCCCTGGTGCACACACACTTCCCAGTTTACCAATCAAACACCAATCTAAGTACTAATGGAGGGGCCACATGGTAAGGCATGCAGGCAGGCTCCAGAAACTAAGAGTGAATTTAATTGACAACCAACAAGAAAATGAGGACCTTAGTCCTACAACCACAAGGAACTGACTTCTGCTGAGGACTTGGATTAGTTTGAAAGCGGATTTTCTCCAGAGCCTCCAAATGAGAGTTCATATTGGTCAACCTGTTGAATTTAGTCTCCTGAGGAGAGAACCCAGTGAATACTTCCTGGACATTAGACCTACAGACTTGTGAGCTAATAAATAGGTATTGTTTTAAGTTGCTCTGTTGTGACAATTTTTCACACAGCATAAAAAAATTAATAAAGGCCATAAAGCAGATGTTTGAGAGCTAGGCATGTGTACTTGTAGTTAGTGGTACCTGCTTCCCATCTGAGACCGTCTTAGTTCAGAAGGCTTGTGGATACTGGACAATGGTATATGTGTTTGGGTAGAAAATGGGGGCATCCCTGGTCTTACCTCCAGCTTTCCTCAACCCTCAAAGAAGGGGGTAGTACATCTGGGTGGTTCCTGAGTTTTATTGGGAGGAACACTGGAAATTAGAGGAGGAGGCAAGGGTGAGGAAGAGGTTCAAAGGGCAACCAAGTGAGGGGCGATCATGTTTGGTCAGGGTATTGGGGACATGGACCTCGAACTGGGGCTGAAGGAGACATAACTATCTTTCTCTAAAGGGGTACTCAGTGAATACATCTACTATTAACAAAGCTACAGATGGCAGACACAGAATCAAACTGAAATGAGAAGGTTTGCCTCCCAACTTTGACAGGGCACCAACCTTATCCACCTTTTTGTCATTTATGTGGCCGACTGTATTTTCTAAAAATAGCTGCCCTACTACCTCCTATGCTACATGCTCTCCTCTACTGTGAACTAGCCTCTACCTCATCCGGTAGTAAAGTCTATTTCCCCTTGGAACCTAGCCTGGCCTTGCTTAACCAAGAGAATATGGCAGAAGTGATGCTTGAGAGTATCCAAGACTAGGTCATAAGAAACCTTGGGATGGTCTCTTTTGGGGCATTTCCTCTGTGAACCTATCCGCCATACAGTGAAAAGCCCACACCACATGGAGAGACCACACATTGGCTCTCAAATGAACAGTGGCATGATCTTCCAGATGACATCCAGCATCAGATGCCAGCCACATGAGAAAGCCATCTCAGTGTCCAGCCTGGTCCTGCCTTCAGACAACTGTATCTCCAGACACCCCAAGGAAGAGCCACCCAGCTGACCCCAGCCAACCTATAGAATTCTAAAAGATAATAATAAACTGTTGTTTTAAGCCAGTAGATTTGGAGTGGTTTGTTAAACACAGTGAATATGTAAATACTCTCTTTTCTCTCTTTGCTTCAAAGGAACTGAGGCTCAGAAAAGTGAAGTGACTTATCCAAGGTCACATAAATAAGTAGCAGAGCTAGGATGAGAACACAGGTGTATGTGATTTTATTAAATCACATTTCTAAGGAGGGTCTTCTGAGGTCAGAGATATGCCATCAAATACCATGAGCAATAGCCCTGTGGCCCTTGAACTGGATGCCTTGGAAATACTGAAAATAAATGGAAATTTCGAATGTGGAGGAGGGGTAGGCAAGCCTCCTCGAGGCTGCCAGTTTTCATTCCACCTTGATGTCAGACCTGCCCTTGAACATCAGGAGTCTCTGATCATTAAGCCTTGACCGGGCATTCAGGGCCAAGTCAGCAAACTCTGAGCCAAGAACATCTTCATCACCCCGGTAACAATTCAGACTCTGCGGTGGGTGCCACATTCCGGAGGCCAGGGAACAGGAGTGGAGGTGGGGAGCTGGCACACAAGGCAACACTTCTCAGAAAGCAGCCCAGAAAAAATTCACAAAAGCCATGTTTGCCTTGATCTAATATTTGCAGTTCCAGAACTTCCCCATTTACAAACAGCAGGGTTGAGCCCGTGGTCATGGACACAGCCTGGGATGAATGCTGCTTCTTGCTCTTTATGACTTTTCCAAGAAACCTGCCGTGTTCTGCAGACATTACATGGTCTGTCTTTTGAGCCTCTCTCTCTTCTCTCTTCCTCCTTCTCCCACCCTACTCCCACACTTACACAAAAAGGCTTGAAATAAGACATTAGCAAATTAATATTTATGGAGCACTGACTATTCTAGGAATGATGTTGCATATACAATGCTATTTTTTTTGGATTATCACTGCAATCCCATTAAAAGGCGTGTATTACCCCCCATTGAATAGTTAAGTTCAGAGATGTTGAGTAACATGCTCAAAGTCACACAGCGCATAAGAAGAGACAGTGTGATTGGAACTTGTAACCAGCTGTCCTCACTTCCCTGTTCTGTCCACTTTACTTTTCTAGCAAAAAGCCGAAGCAAGGTGAAAGCAAAAACTCCAGGTGAAGTTCTGGGTTTTCTTTCCAGATGAGAACCTGAGATGAAGTCCTCTCCTCTTACTGCCCACCTAAGACCCAACCTTGGAACCACAGTGCCTGTTTGCAGGACAACTCGAAGGAAGGTTGGGTGGGGACAATTTCCCACCTTTCTTCATGCCTTCAGGCAAACATTTTCTAAGGTCCACCTGTGAGGGCCACCTGTGTCATGAGTAAGGCTAAAAATAGGAGAGATTCTACTCAATCATTTTTGCAAATGTCAACAAAGCCCCTGCCATTGTTTCACTGAAAATAAAAAGATAAACAAGATCATCTCTACCCTTAAATAAATAAGGCTATGTTCCATTGCCATTTAAAATATTCTATTCTCTTCTTATTTCTTACAACAATCCTAGGAGGAAGTCATTAGTATACCCATTTTATAGGTAGTTGTCCAAGGAATTGCAGTCAATATAGATACAACCGCTGCCCAAGGCTGTAGAAGGTATGTGATGCCAGTGGGTACCAAGTGCATCCTAGCCATGAGAGGGACCATCCTGGGTCAGGCTATGAAAGGGCCCCTTATCTGAAGACATTCTAAAAACAATACTAAAACAGACTAAAAGTTTTCTGTATTTTATTACCACTATGCCCTGACAATGCTGTCCAAAGTCAATGGTCAAATATTCCACTCTGAAAAAAATCTTTTGCTGCTCAAAGTTATAAACAATTCTGCAGTTACTTTTGAGTTTTAATATATGTGAAATTTTCAGTGATCACATTTCACTATGCTTTAATGAATGATATACTCCACGTAGAAGTTAACTCAGAAGCCCTCCCATGTGTACAGCTGGTCTCTGACTCCCAGAGACTGAGCTACATGCCCTTGTTTAAAGAGTAAATTTGCAGTGGTTTGAAATTGCTCAGGTTCACTTCAGGGGCAGTGAGTTTGTGTCTCCAGCTCACTGCACTTTAGCTCTTAATGATTACACAGCACCAGCTGGGTCCAGGCATTCTGTGGGCATGGAATGAGATAGGCAATGCCCCATTTCTCATGCAGTGTGCATCTTCAAGAGGCAGGACAGGAGGGTCCTGGCCACAGAAAAGGCACGTGAAAGAAAGTTCCAGTATGCCTGAGGACCTGGGGGAAAGCCTTCACAGAGCCTAGTGAGAGATACGGAAATGGCAGGAGGAAAATTTGGAGAAGGAAGCAAGAATCACCCCAGAGAAGTTGGGGTGTAAGGGTTGGGCGTGGATTTTATTCGACTTGCCACCAAGGGCTTTTAAGAAGGGAAGAAATAATCTGATCTTCATTTTGAAGTGCTCTCTCCTGCTGCCATATGATGAAGACCGTGGCAATGGTCAAGAGAGATGATGACAACATCCCTGGAAGCAGAGATGAGGTCAGTAACAGCCATACCTGGGGATATATATAATCTTATTGGCTTGTGAGGTTAAGACAAGAGCGAAATTGAGGATAGCTCCCAGCCATCTCTTTTGTCTTGGGAGGGGGATGGATCCATTTGCTAAAATGGAGAACTAGAGAGAAACATTTAGAGAGAGAGAGAGATAAAAGTAATCTCACCATTTAGAGCTAAACACTGTTAACAGTTCAGTGCATATCTTCCCAGTCTTCTTTTACATTTATATTTGAATATACAGTATACAGTTATATGCAACATAGCTTAATGTATCATAAGAATTAGAGGTTAGATAAACCAGAACTTCTTACCACATCAATTATTTTGCTGTGTGACTTTGGCAATGTACGTATCCTTTCCAAACTTCTTTCCTTCATCTGTAAAGTGGGGATAACACTAATCTTCAATTCAGTGCATTTTTGTGAACATGCAATGAATGATGCAGATAATGCACTTAGCAAAATCCCTGGCAAATGCTAGGCACAAGAATTGTTAATTATCATTAGTATTTATAGAATTATTTCGCTAGGATAAATCCATTTAAAGTAAAGTATGGTACAAATAACAACAAACAAAACAAAATGTATTTCCAAACTCCAAAATAACTCTCTGAATTTTTTTCCGATCCAGAGGGATTTAGGGGGGGGCATGGTAACAAAAGATTGCCACAGTAAAATCATTCTGACCTGAAGCCACGTTCACAGTTCACATATCCTTCAGAATATCAAATTAGCAGAGATTAAACATCAGAATTATTTGCTCAATTATTTTTAAGATGATCCAATATTGCAACTGAGTCTTATTGGATGGAATTCTTCTCTTGCCACAAATTAGTGTCATTACTATTCCAAAAAGGGACATTCTTCCTGGGCCAGGTGAACCAAAGGGTGTCTCAGACTGGTGTTGATGCTGGCTGGTGATAGCAAACAAGTGTGATGACAAGGGACACATTAGCCACGTCAGAGGCAAATTCCCCCTGGAGCTGCTATCACTGGTTTGCTTTCACCATCGACAGATCTACTTTTTCCCAGTGGTTTTCCTTGTCCACATTCTTATATCTCAAAAGTGCTTCTGTTCATGCCAAAGTCACTCAAAGAACCAAAGAAGCCCAGCCTATAGAAAGAGCTGGTGTTTATGCTGGGGCTGGGCATGAATCCAGTATAATCTTCAGTCTAGCGTAGGGATAACCCAAACATGAACTCCAGAGAGGCCTTGGAGCTTAGTGATGTAGCCTGTCCCATTGACCCAAAGTGCCTTGAAAAGCCCCAGTGACAACAGCATGTGGAAAAGTGAACCCAAGCCAAGGAAACATAAAGGCACGAGAAATAACTTAGAAACCTAGTTAGAACTGATTAATTTCTTTGTCAAATTAAATTCATTGGCCTGGAAGTCAATTGAGTTGGAACATTTGTTTGTTAATAAAAATAGCACCTAACAAGGACCCCCTTTGTGGACATTGGAAATGATTTGGCGAGAGAAATGACACCATGGAAGGAGCCAGAGGTTTAAAAAAATGGTTCTGATCTAGTTATATTGTCATCATAAATCTTTATTTCATAGAAACTGAGAAATACTGTTATGATTACAAAGGGAAACAAAGCATGTAAAAATATGTTGTAGCCCATAAAATGCTCTAAAAAAATATACAGTAATATTATCTAGGTCAAACCCACAATTTAAAGATGATGAGTAGACACCAAGAGAGGTTAGATAACCAGACCAAAAACACATAGTAAGTTAGTGGCCCACTCTACAACTGCAAGTTGCATCCTTCAACTCCCGGCTCACTGTTCTCTTGACCTATATACCTTCATGGCCATAATGTTAATAAATTTAGTATTTCCTATTTATTGAGCCTCAAGAATTTGGCACATTTATCTCCCCAAATATTCACAAGAACTTGGGACAGTCTCATGATTATCTTCATTTTCCAGGCGGGAGGAAAGATTCAGAAGCCCACTTGTATCACAGAGGTGAGAAAAGAGAGAGCTGGGATGTGTCTGGTTGTAAAGTCCACATTCTCCACCACTGCAGTTCATTGCCTCCTCAATCTAAAACTCTCTCTCAACTGTGTCAGCAATTTTGTAGAAAAGAACTGGACTTTGAAAAACATTTGCTATGTTGCAGAAACCTGGGTAGCTACTTCACAAACCTTAACTCATATTATTCTCATAATCCAATAAAGTAGATATTCTTATTCCTACTTTATATTATAAAAGGAGACAAGTCAGCTAATAGAAGTTGAAGAACTTGCCAAAGGCCAAAGCTCGGGTAGGACTGCACTTTTGCCAGAATTCAAAGAAATTCCCTTTATACCATGTGGCCTCCCACGCAACTGCCTTTCAAATATTGCAGGGAAGTTAGTAAACATTATTGTAAATAAAAGCTGGCTGCAGCAACAGCCAGTCATTATAAATAATTGTTGAGGCAGATGGGTCAGGATCAAAGGAAGGAGGAGATGAATTGTGCAGAAATATACAATGCTATGGCAATAGCAAGGAAAGAAATAAGGCCTCACATCAAGCATTTCCCAACTAAAATCTATTAAATTCTAGTGTGCTCAGAGATGTTGATAGTTCATCAATGAAAAATAGATTTGGAAGTAAAAGAAGTAAAATAATGGTGTAAAACCAAATTGATGTATATGTGTGAGATTGTATATCCACACATACATACGTGTGTGTGTGTGTGTGTGTATACAATTGATCCTTGAACATCATGGGTTTGAACTGTGTAGGTGCACATATACATGACTTTCTTCCTCCTCTGCCACCCCTGAGACAGCAAGAACAACCTCACCTCTCCCTTCTCCTCAGCCTACTCCACATGAAGACAACAAGGATGAAGATACACTTTATGATGACCCATTTAATAAATAGTATATATATTTCCCTTTCTTATGAGCTACTTAATAACAATTTCTTTTCTCTAGCTTACTTTTTTTATAAGAATATAGTATATAATGCATGTAAGGTATGAAATATGTGTTAATTGGCTATTTATGTTATCAGTAAGGTTTCTGGTTAGCAGTAGGCTACTAGGAGTTAAATTTTGGGGGAATAAAAAGTTATACATGGATTTTTGACTATGTGAGTGTTGGTACCCCTAACCCCCACATTGTTCAAGGGCCAACTGTATATATGTATATATGCACATATATTATATATATTTATATATATATAAAATTTTTGTAGGACTCTAGAATTTTTTTTTTACTTGCTAGAATAAAATGTAAATGTTCATGAAGGGATATATTATTTTTTGAACTTGTCTAGCAGTGAAATGCCTTCATATTTTTTTTTCTCAGAAAATTGATTAGTATCTATTAATAGAACAGGAATAAGCACATTTTTCTGTGAAGGCCATTTATTGTAAATACAGGTGGTTGCCTGGATAAGGACGAGAATATCTTTTGGATTTGTATGTAACTCAGATCCCTGATGAATAGCATATACACAGTAATAATACAAATATAAAACACAGATACAATAATAACAATACAGTACAATAATACATTATTATTACATAATTACATATTATACATAATTATTGTACAATACAGTACAATAATAATACAAATACAATAATAATAATACATATACAATGGCTTATATGTGGTAATAATACAGTGTAATGTTGTAATAATAATAATACCCCTGTACTGTAATAATAAGTTACAGACAGTATTGTGCTCTTTTGGGTCAAACAGAACATAAAAACAAACTCATACAAAAAGTTTACATAGGAGAAATTTCAAAAAATAATATTAAAAGTTAATACTCACCTAATGTTTCATCAGTGTCTTACTTACTGGAAGGGGCATTTTTGAGGCAAGAAGGCAGCTCACATTAACGGGAAGGTGATGATGGAGATGGTGCTAGAGATGATGGAGTGGGAGCTGGAGAATCAGGATTTGATTCTGTTGCTGGAGGAGGCGAGCTCACCACTGAATTCAGTTTCTTGAAAAGGGTATCTAGGGTTGTTCGCACTGCCTTTTCTTTTTTTCATCATAAACGGCTTGTAGCAGCTGATGTCCTCACCAACTGCACCGTAAACCTTTGTTAACAGCTCAATGTTAGGCTCTTGCTCCTCAAGCTTAGAAAATCCTGCTCACTGAGACTAAAGTCTTCAGCTAATTATTTTGTCATAAACCTTGGCCCTTGATCTTCTGATCTTTCATGTTCCTGTGTTTCTATCAGCTGCTTCTCTATCTATCTATGAGACTAGTTGTTAGCATAAAGATGCTGCCCCAATGATCCACTTGCCCCATTGCGGGTTTGTTTACATGCACAGAAGAAACTAAGTCCCAAATTATTAATTAATTTATTTAATTATAAATTATCCTCATGGGGGGCCTCGGAACCCATTTGGAAACACAGAACACTATAGGTCAGGGTTGTCCATAACCCGGGGACTGCACATATTTTAGGCTACATGGGCCATGGTTCTCTGTTGCAATTGTTTAACTCTGCCACACAGCGTGAGAATAGCCATTAATGATACACAAATACATGGGCATGGCTGTTTTCCAATGAAGCTATATTTCTCAAAAAACAGATGATAAATAGTTGGGGCAGGAATTTGGCCCATGGATCTTAGTTTTCCAACAGTAGAGCATCTGTTCCCTAAAATGCAGCTCAGGTGATGTTGCCTTACATTATATTCCCTGATTGTTTACAAAGTGCTAGAGTGGAATACACAGCTTACCTGGTTTCCCCCACTCCAAGCATCAGAATCTTGAGTCTAATATTTAGGTAAGACTCATGCAATAAAGATATCTGCAGGGGTTCTTTAATTGAGACTTAGTAAAAATGATAGAATTAGCTATTAGAGGTGATCCCACATTCAAGAATAAGAATTCTAGGTATACTGTTATACACAAAACACAAAGTAGATTCTGTTTTTAGTCTCCTAAGAATAAATAATATGCAAAAAATTAATGGTGTCAAATGGTCATAAATAAAATTTAACATCTATTAATAATAAAAATGTTAAATGTGTAAGGACTTGAAGTCTATGTGATTAGCATGACAAAGTATATTCCCAAACAGCCAATATTATACTTAATAATAGAACACCAGAATTTTCTGCATTGAAATGAAGAATTCTACCAAGCTCCTGGCATCACCATAATTATTTAAGTGTATTTTGCATGTCCTGGAAATTCGAATAAGGCCTGAAACAGAAATAAGTGTTATAAGTATAAAAAGGGATATAAGTATGTGAGTATAACAAGATTTACTACTTATGAAATCCAAATTAATCAACTTAAACACTAGTAGAATTAATAAGAGTTAGGAGTAATGAGGTCAGAGAGATAAATATATAAAAATCAGTGGCATTGCTCTAAGTCAGCAATTACTAATTTGAAAACATAAGGAAAATATAAATCAAGTACATAATGGCAGTTAATTATAAAATATCAAACAATAAATTTGACCCAAAGAATTATATGCATATGTGTGTATGTGTATGTGTGTAGATACATTTTTACTAAAACATGCATATTATTTGAATAAAAATTTCCCTGTTCCCACTCAGGAGCAGAAAAAGGATTGGGGCTAAGCATTAACCCAGTGGGAACATCATGGACTTCTAAGAGGTACCAACATCTACAGAAGAACAGCATCAGAAACCGGGCCATTAATCTCAGGTAGCAGCCCCACTAATGATAAAAAGGAAGAATATTCTAGGGATGTTAACAAACATGGGATGGTGTTGTATAATAAATAGTTTGTCTGGTCTTTGTCCAGTGTTCTTGGCACAGAGCTTTTAAAACCCTGTAATTTCCCAAGTGGTAAAAATGTCTTTGCTATTCATGAGTCCCTTGGATCATACCTGAGTTTATGTTAATAAGATAACTCATTGTCAGCCCCTAGATAGCTTCAGGATGGGAGTTGATCACCAGAAAGACCAGCCCCATCATCAGAAAGCTGAGACTTAGGACCAGCCTGGCCTCTAAGCAGGGGACAGGGGCTGGAGATTGAGTTCAGTCATGTGGCCAATGATGTAATCAATCACGCCTACCTAATGAAACCCCAATAAAAATGCTGGACACTGAAGCTTATGGGAGTTTCGTGGTTGGTGACCATATCAATGTGCTGGAAGGCTGATGTCTCCTGATTCCATGGAAAGAAGGCACAGAAGCTCTGCATTCAGGACCTTCTCAGACCTTGCCTTGTGTATCACTTTGGCTGTTCCTGAGTTGTAGCCTTTATAGTAAAACCATAAGTATAGCACATTCCTGAGTTCTGTAAGTTACTCTAGAAAATTATTGAACTAGAAGGGGTCATGGGAAGCCCTGAATCGTAGCCAGTTTTTCAGAAGAGCAAGTGGCCTGAGAACTCCACTTTCAGCTAGTGTCTGAAGCGAGTGTCGTTGGGAACCGTGCCCTTTAATTTGCGGAGTCTGCACTGATTCTGAGAGATTTGTGCCAGAATCGAATTGCAGTACACCAGTTAGTGCCAGAATAGATGGAAAATATCTTTCCCTAACCAAATAATCATATCTATTTGTCTGTTAAAAGACATAGTACACTTTTACAGCGCATGTCTCTTAGCCTTTAATAACAGTCCACACTCTCTTATCTGAAATCCTTGAGGCTGGATGTTTTCTTCTGAATTTGAATTTTTTAGAAAGTTGTGCCCCAAGACTTCTAATACTCTGAGCAGCACCTCACAATCAATCACTAATATTTCTACAGTTATACATATGACATTGAAACTAAAATCAATAAGAACCAATAAGTAGCCTCATTTCAGCCATGTTAGGTGTTGCCACCATGCGAGTTAAGTAAAGCACTGGTTTCAGAGCTTTCCAGATTTCAGAATTGTTGATAAGGAATTGAGGACTTCTACATGAATGTCTGCTTTTAGTCCTCTGGATGAGGATCCAGCATGCATTCCAAACTCATTTGATCATAGAACATATATATTTTTTTTTTCCAGAGGACAGACAACAGCCATGGAAAAGAAACAAAGTTTGAAATGCATAGAACCAGAGCTAATCTTTGGAAAATCCTTTCAGTCTTGTCATGTTAAATTGCCAACAATTTGGCACTCATCAATGCCTAGTCAAAATGAAAGATTTTCTGCTTGGAATATATGTATGATAATGCAGTATATTCAATTATAATCCTGAAGGCAATCACCATTGTATCAGATTCACTGCATCTATAAGGCATAAACCTGGACTAATGCCTCTGCTAGGCTGAATTACAAAATACGCTCTCAAGATTCCCAGCCATGGTCTACACACACCTTCCTTCAGTTAGTTACTCAATGAAATCACAATCTGGGTACTGCTGTGAAGGGATTGTGCAGATGTAATTAAACTCTCAAATCAGTTAACTTTAAAATAGGGAGACGATCCAGGAGGGGGAGGAGGGGCTGCCCTAATCATATCAACCCTTTTAAAGCTCAGAGTTTTCTCTAGCTGGTTGCAGAAGAAAAAGACATAGCGAGCCGGGCACGGTGGCTCACGCCTGTAATCCTAGCACTCTGGGAGGCTGAGGCGGGCGAATTGCTCCAGGTAAGGAGTTCAAAACCAGCCTAAGCAAGAGCGAGACCCCGTCTCTACTATAAATAGAAAGAAATTAATTGGCCAACTAATACATATATAGAAAAAATTAGCCGGGCATGGTGGCGCATGCCTGTAGTCCCAGCTACTTGGGAGGCTGAGGCAGGAGGATTGCTTGAGCCCAGGAGTTTGAGGTTGCTGTGAGCTAGGCTGACGCCACGGCACTCACTCTAGCCTGGGCAACAAAGTGAGACTCTGTCTCAAAAAAAAAAAAAAAAAAAAAGACATAGCGACACACCTTAGCTGGCTTGGAAAGAAAGCAAGAATCCATGATGTGAACTGCCTACTGGGACCACCTGGTGAGGAACTGCAGGCAGTCTCTGGTTGCTGATACTGGTCTCAGGCTAATAGCTAGAAGGAAAATGGGGACCTAAGTCCTACAGCTGCAAGGAAATAAAATCTGATGACAACCAGTGAAACCAGTGATCTTGCAAGAAGACCCTGAACCCCAAAAGAGAACCTCAAATTTGGCTGACACCTTGACTTCTGCTTGATGAGACCCTGAGCAGAGAATCCAGTTACTTTGAAGCTATGTAAATTGTGAGATCATAAATTTGTGTGTTTTAAGTTACCAAGTTTGTGATAATGTGTTATACAGCAATGGAAAACTACCACAGTACCAAACAGTGAATTCATGCATATGAGATGTCACATGTCTTTTGCAGTATGCACAGATCTGATACACCTGGCTCTGACAAAGTGGATATTGCAGATGAAATGGCATTTGGAATTGCCATCAATGAAGTGAAGTAGTTTAAAAACAGAGGTGCTGCAATGACAAAAGACATGTCCATCTGTAAGTTAGTGTATACAGTACAGCAGTAATTTGATTACAAATAATATAGTTCAAAAATATGCTTTGAATTACTTTTGTGTATGCCCTAATTTTGTCTATTGGTTAAACCAATTAAAAATATAGGTGAGCAGGAAAGATAACTAAAATTGTATGTTCTTTTTCTAGAGTTTGTGATATTAGTGGTGGTCTGTTAGACTACATTTTTAAAATATATAATTTGTTATCGCATAAAAATCTCCTTTGTAAATAAATGTCCTTCTACACCTAATTATGTATTCAATATTTTTCTTTTTTAAAACATAGAGTCCCCCAAATAGCATAAGATTCAGTACTCACAAATAGCTGGACACACAAGCAAAGATAAACTCTATAATTTATGTTTCCAAAAATTCAATTCGAGGAAATTTTGGGGTGATAGCCATCGTCACTCAACAACCAATACCCTCCCTCTTGCATCTTTTTTCTCTGATTTCATTCCTCTGTTCCCTGTCTCAGCACTGAGTGAAAGTGGCCACGCCCAGCCTGCCATGTAACTGCTGATTTGCCAAAAGCAGTGGCAATTCCTTCCAGTACCACTGACTGGAGAAGGTGTGGTCACATGACACAGACCTGGCCAATGGGATGTTTGGGAGAGTTTGCTGGAAAATTCAGAGAAGGGCCTTCCTCCTTAATCAAAACAAAACAGAAACTTGAAGGAGGACCTGCTCTACCTGGCTCTGGAAATTATGGTAGGGCAACATGATGGCCTTCTCTGGGCCTGAAGCAACTGTCTGGCTGACTCACTGAGGATACGTCAAATGGAAAAATGCAAAGTCGTGGAGACATCGTGGAGGTGGAGAGCTAACTCCAGAGAAGTCCTGCCTCAAGATTTCCTGTAGTGAGGGCATGAATCAATTGTTCATGGTTTAGGCCACTTCCTTGTTGGGTATTTTGCTACTTGGAGCAGAAAGCCTCAGGAAACAGTGGGAATGCCGAAAATGGAGACCACAGAGCTGCCGGAGACTTCTGGAAGTGAGACTAATGCTTGTGGTTGTGTGACTTCCATGGTTTCCTGTGTTGAATGGGAGACCTGGTTTATTTAATACAAGTCTCGTCAAAATCCCAAAGAGAAGTTTTGTTTAGAAAATTAACAATGTGATTCCAGTGATTCTAAAATTCACCTAGAAACATGAAGAGAAAAAATAAAATAAAAACATTTCTGAGAAAAGAAAAGTGTCACTAAGATCAGTCCTACACAATATTAGAATATATAAAGCTGTAATAGGTAAAAGATTGTGGCCCACATGCGAGTATAATATATATGACAGGTTAATAACAATGGAGAGTTCAGAATAGACCCATTACCCACCAGCAATAGAAGAACTACAAATTAATATAATTTATGTTGTTTCTTTTCATCATAAAATTTAAGATTAGTCTAGAACCACAGTGCTAGTCAGTATGTGTGCAATGGATGTTCTCATATTCCACTGGGGGGAACATAAATTGAAAGGACCTTTCTAGAAAACTGGAAGTTTGTAGCAAAAGCCTTAAGAAAATCTGTACACTTTGATGCAATTATTCCACTTTGATAATATATCCTAAGGAAATAATTTTAAATATGTAAAATACCTTATGGAGGCAGATGTTTATTATTGTGATAATGAAAAATAGAAGCAAATTAGATTTGTAACATGCAAGGGATATTTAAGTCAGTTATGTCACAAAGGCTATCCTCTTGTGCATTAAAAATGATGGTTATGAAGACTAAATTAACAACAAGAAATGTCTATAGTTTAATGTGAAAAAATAATGATATAAAATTCTATACAGTAAATCACATCTTTGAAAAATAGCAGATATGGTATGTGTGGGGAAATGCTGGAAGGGAATGCAATAAAATATGAACAATGGTTGGATTTGATTAATGAGAATACCAATTTTTTTCTCTTTTTAACTTTCTGAATTTGTATAAAATGCTACTTTTATAGTGAATAATTTTAAAAATTAGAGAAATTGCCTTCAAAAGTGTAAAAGGTGCTGAATTCATAAGGATTCTCTGCAGAAACATAACCAACAGGATCCACAACAAGAAAACAGGTGAGAAAAATCACCTGCTCCTTCCCTAAATCCAATATGTTTAAAATATTTGGAAATGGGTACTCAACAGGAGTGAGTGAATTTGCTGAGGCCCTTCAGCTAGTGAAGCGTAATGATTAAAAGTGTGACAGGCTTGGCTATCAGACACACATTAGCTTTGTTACCTTAGAAATGTTCTTCTACCTCTTTGCACCTCAGTTTATATATCTGTGGAATGGGGCTAATAAGAGCACCTGCCTTATGGAGTTGCCCTGAAGATTAAATGCAATTGAGTGCAGAGCTGTTGTTATTATTATTAGATGTTATTATTATTAGAGCTGAACTTCAACCCCAGGTCTTCTGGCCTGTAAATCAGAGTACTGTTCTTCATACTTATTTGACTCCTTGTAGAATTGTGCACAAAATCAAACGGACACAATCATCTGACATTTAATAGGAGCCAATTTCTCATAACCCCCTTGCACATAAAAGAGGCTGCTTATGACCAAGAACAGCCAGGAGCTGCTTTTTCTTTTTCCAAAGGACCTTTGTTTGGCAGAGGCATCCTGGTGTGCAGGAGCAGCCTTGCCCGAGGAAAGAACACACCGCCACTCTGTTTCTCCTCAATGCCTGGTCCTTCTGCTTCTTCCAAGTCCTGTCTCTCTGAGGGTGTCATATGTCTCCCCAAAATGGACCAGTGCTGCCTAGGGAACAGTGTGCCAAATATTGAACAAAAACTCTGTTTAGGTTTCGCCACTGGAGAGCTGAAACCAAGGGTCAAATTCCGTTTTGGGTTTCTCCATGTTGCATCTCTGTTCACGTTAGCACATATTTTTGGAGAAAACAGACTATTAACCTCCACCCACCCCACCCCTGCCACACATACAGCAGCTTTGCTTTGAAATGTTTATCCTTCTACCATTGCGTGGTGGGACTTCCAAATGGTTGAGGGAACCTCTCTGTTAGTGGTGCCCTCAGTTTAGAAACACATTACTTCTAAAAAATTTGAGTGCATTCCAATAATGACTACTCAGATCACCCCATGGAGGAAGGGTATTTCTATTTTAATAATAAATGCACCCTTCCAAGTCTAAGTCAGATCAAGATGCCCACAGATTCAATGCCTGGTCAGCACATGATTTCTGCTTTATAGATGGTATCTTGCCGTATCCCCACATGGTAGAAGGGACTAGCTAGCTCTCCAGGGTCTCTTTTATAAGAGCACTAAGCCCAACTATGCGGTTGGAGCCCTCATAACCTAATCATCTCCCCAAAGGCCCCACCTCCTAATACCATATCATCTTGGGGGTTAGGTTTTCAGCATATGAATTTTTTTTTTATTTCGTCATATTATGGGGGTACAAATGTTCTTAAGGTTACATATATTGCCCTTGCCTCTCCTCCCCCCTCGAGTCAGAGCTTCAAGCAAGCATGTGAATTTTGAGGAGACACAAACATTTAGTCCATAGCAATATCCGGTACATAATTTTAAAAAGTCAGACATATAAGGAAGCAGAAAACCATGTAAGAAACCCCCTAAATACTGAGGGAAACAACAGAAAATAGAGATTCCCACAGGGTATCCAGATCATGTAGTTACTAGACACAAATTTTTAAATCGTGAAATTTCGTATGTTTAAGAAAAAAATTTATGAGATTGAGAATTTTGATAAAGAACTGAAAACTATAAAAATAATCAAATAAAAATTCTAAAACAAGTAGTCAAAATTAGTTAAGATATAGAAGATTTGAATGACAGGATTAAAATTAACAAAGTTAATCCCACGAATTTAAAATATTTACTCAACAAGTGTAGATAACACATTTTTTTCCAAATAAACATGAAACATTTATATACTTTGACCATAGGCTAAGCCATAGAATGAGTCTCAAAAACCCTTAAAGGAAGAAAATCATACAAAGTGTGTTCTCTGGCCCCACCACTATTAAATTAAAAATCAATAAAAAATTAACAATTAAGTCCCCCATATAAAATTATGAATTTTACCACTAAATAATATATATTCAAAGAAAAAATCACAATGGAAATTAGAGGATGTTTTATCTGAATAACAGCGAATATAGT